GTGTGTGTGTGTGTGTGCGTGTGTGTGCGTGTGTGTGTGTGTGTGTGTGTGTGTGTGTGTGTGTGTGTGTGTGTGTGCGTGTGTGTGTGTGTGTGTGTGTGTGAAGCACTCTGGCCGGGGCCCACTTCAAACAACTCCAACCATCGCCAGCGGCTTTTTCGGCCCCTGTCATTCCCTGTTTCTATATTTTCAGAGCTGCAGCCCTGCTCCCGGAGCCGTGGGCCCAGAACCAGACCAGCAGGCGTGTTCCTGAATACACGCGTGTGCGAAGACTCAAACGGAATAAAGAGGCTCTGTCGGACTCAGTGGGAAAAACTCTGCTGACTTGAAAACGCTTGAAAAAATGTTTAAAAAAATGAAAAAATAATAAAAGAAAATCAAATAAAATTTTAAAAAATAGAAAACGATAAATAAAGAAATAGGAAAAAATAAAGGGAAAAATAAAACAATACATAAAATAAATAAATAAAAATAAGTTAATTAATTGATGAATTAAAAAAAAGAAAAAAGAAATAAAAAAAGAAAAAGCCTCTTTCTGTAGTCAAGCTCAGTGGCAAGAACTCTGCTGACTTAAAAAAGCTTGAATAAAATAAAAATAATAAAAAAGAAATAATAAAAAAAATTAAATAGAATTTTAGAAAATGAAAATAAAATAAGATAAATAAATAAAATTAAAAAAAATAATAAAGAAAATTAAATAAACAATTAATTAATACATTTTAAAAAATAAAAGAAAAAGCTTGATGTGATGCCTCTTTCTGCCATTAAGCCTGTTCACCTGTGTGTCAGCACTACTGACAGCACAAACAAAGAAGGAAGCTGAGGAGGTTTATATGGAGGCGTTTTTAGAAAGGGCTCTGGAAGCACTCCAGCTCAGCCGGAGTTATTTTCTGTCTCCATTTCAGCCGCCTGATGTTGAGAGAACATTACAGACATCTAACAGCTCTGGTTTCTCTCAAGAAAAGTGCAAACAACCCACTAACGTTAGCACCTAACGTATATTTAGATTGATAATTAGCATGGTAACTTTAGAAAGTTCTGTTCAGACATACAGAGCGATATTATGCCGACTGGACCTTTTTCTTTCTCTGGTTTTATGCCAGAATTCAGCAGCAGCCATGACAGAAACGTAAAATAAGTTAGCCAACTGGACATGTTCCTAAAAGATCCGGCCTTTATCTCCAATAAAAGCTCACGATAGATGTTGGGATTTTGAAAGGAATTCTTTGGTTCCTTCTTTAAATGCAGAGAAGGATAGAAATCATAGAAATCACGACATTAATGGCAATTTCGGTCCAGTTTTAGTTCAAGTTTACATTATTAATTCATTTTTGTGAATCATATTTACTCAAAAGTTAATAATCCTCCTGCTGACTGATGTAATGACATGGATTCCAAGTTAATTTTCTTCAGGAAAAACTCAACTCTAAGTTTGTTTAGACTTAATTAAAAATGTTCTAGTGTGTTCACAGGACTTTTTCTGCTTTAATCTGAATATTTGCCTATAGTACACTTGTATGCTCGCCATTTTTGTATTAATATAGCACATCTGCACACTTGTTCATGTGACATCTGTATATTAAAACTAATTTATTCTCATCTTTTTATTGGCTTTATCTGTGCATAACTACTCTGATTAGATGCTGCTGTGTTTGGCTACCTTGTGTTTACACCTGCGTGATGGCTATAAATTGAAATCTAATCTAGGATGTTATTAATATTGTCTCCTAAGAAAATTTGCCTGAAGGCGGAAAAAGTAACAAATGTGGAAAAAAATCTAATATTTGAGCCAGGAAGCGAGGAAGAACTCAAAGGAGAACCTTTACATGTTTTAATTATTAAAATTGTCTATTGAAACACAATAGATTCTGACAACAAAGTGTACAAATGAAATAGAAATATCCCCCTAGTTCATCACTTGCTCTGGAAGATCCATTTAAAAAAAGGCCATTAAGAAAAGAATATTAATGAGCAACATACTTCACAATGAACAGGA